CCACCCAACACCCACCACGACCGCCGCGTTTTCGTGGGGTGTATTACGATGATGACGATGATGATGATGATAATCTATTATAATATTATTATTTACTTGCGTGGCCGACAAACAGATACAGTCCGAAGGGCATGTCCACGAAAGCGCCGAGTTGGCAGTTACCATTAAAATCAGCGTCGTCAAAGCTCGCATGCCGTTCATTTGTCTGAAAAACAAAAAAAAGTTTTGGATGATAAAAAAACAGAAGTTTACAAAACACGATTCAAATTCATCCGCCGCGCGGTGACATTCTATTCCCGCAAGACGCGTACGCCCTCAGAGTAACGGTATATGGTTCGCTGCGTGTGTGCGTGTGTGTGTGCGTGTGTGTGTGCGTGTGTGTGTGTGTGTGCGAGTGTGTTTTCTCTTTCTTTTTGGAATGTTAAGTTTTGTTAGGTTATTGCGGCCAAGCGAAAAGGCTTTCGGACGACTTGTTAAATATGTATATAGGTTCGGCGAAGTACGAATATAATGTAGTGGCGGAAAGAGTTTGTGCATAGTTCACACGGCCGTTGACGAAATAAAATATAAAAATATGAAAAATAAAAAATAAAGAGAGAGCGTCGTCGTTTCGACGGTGTCGGCGACAATCCCGGAGCGCCGCAGTTTGACGAGATAAAATGCAAAACTTTTCTCGCGCATATACACTGCGACGCACTTACTATGCACGCCCCACACACACACAAACTTGACGGACCACGTGCGAATAAAAGTGCACAATATAATAAATAATAAAATATTATATTGCGCCGCATTTTAATATTCTCATACAGGTATTACCCGCAGCTACCTATATGCACAGATATTGTGTGTGCAATGTGCATGGACGTGTATATACCAAGACCAGCTATGACGCCATACCGCACAGATTGATTCGACTACCGCGGTCACCTCCATATTATTTTATATCCTTTGATCACGGACACAATCATTTGAATTACGTGTTTTCGGACGATTTAGGTGGTTCGTGTGGCAGTGCAACATTTTTTTTCCTTCAAATTTGTTAGGCACTCCTCTTTTTTTACTGTTATTACAACCTAACCTAAACCGTTGACCACACGATGTTTTTGAAAATGTTCAACTATCAAACGTGAACATGATATAGTTTCTGAGTTATTTTACTTTTTTAACCTTAAGATAGTAGTACACTAAATATTGCGTCTGTTCTATATTTTATGTATATAATAATATAACCACGATACAGGTATAACTTGCACGGTCCGTTACCGCGTATGTTCCCTTATAATATTATGAGACTCGAGTGATCCTTAAATTGTAACGGTTCATACGAAAAATCTAGACGATATTATATGAAAGTATTGTGTCTAATAGTGGGTGTATACTATAATATATTATGCACTAAAAAAAATTCCAAAAATCAAAATGTTTAGTAACCTTTCTCAATATCAACGGTGATGTGAAATCCCACAATATTGTGGATGTCGTCGCCACGGCTGGCCCGACTACCCTCGATCACGCGTTAATCGTGCGATCGTGTGAACATGCGGTTATATTATTTATGATATTGTCGCAACACGCGTTTGCCACTGTATTGTATTGCAATGACGGTGAAGACGGTAATTTTTTTCTTCCGACAAATGAAAAACGGCCAAAACCCCCGGTTGCGGTGGATCACCCGGTATACAAGTAACTGCATAATATTATGTATATTATTATATTATAACAAACGCATTATACGTACGCAGGTACTCGAATCCCCCCCCCCACCACCACCACCATCAATCCCCCTACCCCTCGTGCACGGTAAGGCTATTGGCTGCAGGCCCGTGGAGTATATATTATTATGAATAGATCCGATACACACACACACACACACACTGACACACGCAGTTGCAGACAATGGTCCATCGTCGAAAACAATAAATAGTGTCATCGTGCTCGGAAGTGCGCGTCACTCCACCCCCGCGGCTCCGTCATCACATGCGCTCGCAGTTCGATATCATCCCCTTCGGCGTTTTTCTACGACGCGATCGTCATTATAATGTACTCTCGCATCCCATTATAATATAAAAATAAAATATTTATAATATATACGGGGTGGTTCTATCTTACGCCGCCGACCCGGCGGCGCGGCGGTAATATCGCGTCGTTCGGATGATGAATTTGTTCGTCTTTCCCCCAAACGATAAACATATTATTGTAATATTATAATCTCGTACGCAGGTACATCCGCGCAGCAATTCGATATATTATATTGCACACCGTGTCGGTGCACCTGCAGTTCTTAAAATTTTAAAATACAATTTTTCTCTGGATATTTCCCCCGGTGCACGGTAGAAAACATAATCGTTCTACGTATTATTATACATTATAATACACGTAGACCCGCTGAAATTGTACTCTGGCGACACGAGTGAGGGGTGGGTACTCGTCAGAGATCTGTGCGTACTCGAGATCCACTCTTTACAAAACTCGCGTAAGGTGAAAACCACTTGTACTCTATTGTACATATTATTATGAATGCATTAAAATACATGGACGTTAGACATTTTTTTTGCTTTGCTTTTATTATAATTATTAATGGTTTCGCATAAAGTCATTTTAGCGATTTTAAATCTCCTAGCTGGTACTAACCTAACCCAGCTGGCGCTATAATGTACACAGCACAGACCACAATCGTTACTATACATATCAATAATTACCGTGGTGTTTGCGAGTAACCCGTTCATGTAAACTAGTGCCAATCAATAGACGATGAGCGTTTCTTTTAAATATTGCTCTGTTATCAAATATATCGTAATACTATAAGTTTTAAATTTTACCGCCTATATACTTACATAAAATAGTATTTAATAAAAAAAAAAAAAAACATTTAACATGGGTTATTTTCAAAAATATGCAAACCCAAAAAATATAAGATTTGATATTTACAACTTACACAAGTACATATCTTTGAGTGTGTAAGTCCTTCCTGGTTTTGAATTAAACGTTTTCAAAAACGTGAAACCTTATACCTTCGTGTGTTCTATCCAAACAGGTCACGAGCAGGTGTCATTGTTTAACCGTTATCTACTCTCTGTAATTACAAATCGTGGTAAAAGTAAAAGTTTCAATATCTCACCGACAAAGTTCTGCTGCCCTCGCGAAATTATAATTATTACTATAACGGCATAACTCGTGTGTCTCATTGTGAAGTTATTGTTACAACTCCGCCCAACAAAGTCTATTATTGTCATTATTATTACTATATAGTACGGTTCCCGGGCTTTTAAACGATAAATACGATATTGAAAAAACCATTTCTCTGGTATTTTGTTGTGTGTCCGTTATTTCTCGCAGTCTATATTAATTTCGTACACTAAATGTTAACTTATAATGAACTATCGTACCCCAATCTGTATACATTCGATGGTCGGCTTTTACGCCGAATTATAATAATCATAAATATTAACGAGGTTTAAGAGTTTAGTCGAAATAATCTCAAATGTCTGGAACGCAACATAAATGAGCGGAAAACAATAATATATTAGAAACGTTCCAGCCGAATTGTTAAAATACAATGGGTAGGGTGGAATAGGTGGTTGCCAGTAGGTAATCATATTCGCGAGATATTTTATTACTACAGTAACAGCTTTAAAAAAAAAAAAAAAACCGTCTAGAGTTCGCCAACGTAATAATACACATATTTTTTTCTTCTTCCCCCCCCCCCTTCCCCCGGCCGGCCGTTTGTTGTCAGCGAAGTTTAATCTTGTACCAGTTCCGGAATTAGCAGAAGCTCCTTTATGTACAAATTTGATTGTTTTATACTCCGTCGTCCTCGAAAACGGCACGCGGCGCAGAGAAAAAAAAGTAGGCGGAGAGAGCGAGAGATGGAAATACGTTTTACCTCCATATTCCGGAAAAAAATAAACAGAAACAGAAAAACGTTTACAATATTATTAAGGTAATACCCGACTCGTTTTATTGTCTTCATTACGCGAGCATTTTACCGTACCTATACACTTTGCACTCTTCCCACCCAGCCGACCCACAGACCACGTCATATTAACCGTGCCCTGTCCGCTGTCTGTGTGTGTGTGGTGTGTGTGGTGTGTGTATGTGTGTGTTTATATTTATATATATGTATACTAAATCGAATTGTGCCGGTCTTTTTCCTTTTATTTTATATTGCGGGGCCGTGGGTCGTTGCTGTTTTATAAGTATTTTATATTAAAAACGCACGACAATTTATTTACCCACCGCGTATGCTTTCCACAAGTTAATTAAGAGAAAAGCTGAAACATATCGAGTCTAAATGTACTTACATTGTGTGTGTGGCAAGTGACTCTTGGAAAAAGATCAGGGGAGCAGCGCGTTTATATTATTACGTTGAGGTCGACGTGAATTCTGAATAGGTAGGTTATTATAGGTCAAACATACGGTCAGAAGCTGATGTTTTTTCAACATGGAGTATTCGGTCTACTCTTTAAACAATATTAATTGTATTGACAAAAGCAATATGTATATAAATTAATAAAATTATGATAGCACATAGGTAGGTACGAGTACTTTTGAAACCAGGCACGCGCATAACGATATATATAAAATATGTATTATATTATGTTAGCGAGGGTTGGTTACGCGACTTTCAAACAAAATGTTTATTTAAACGCATAACAAGTAGGTATTGCTATTATTATCGTATTAAATTATCTCGAAAATAATAATAATAATAGGTATTTAAATGATGTACGTCGTGCAGGTATAGTTTGATTTTGCACAGAACTGGCTCGGTTCTAAATGATAGCTAGACCGACATTGTGTAGAACGAGTGAGTTTCAAATATTGAATATAATATAATGGATTGGCAAAAAGATATTTTTAAGTACTCGGAGAGGAAACACCGGTAGACCGATTTTTCACCATCGATGGATCCACAATACGTGATAATAATATTGTACTTTCGAGTATCATATAATACGGATGCGGGCGGTTCCGGTCACGGGGCTAACGCGGTATTCGGGCAAAGCGGTTACTGGTTAGTACCTACGGCCTGGGCACAATGGGCTCGCCGCAGTCGCGCACGCAATCAGTGACCGCAACGGACTGATTAGAGGCGAACTGCGCCAGACCACGGCGGACCGCAAAACCGCTGGCGTCCCGCGTCCAACACAAATAATAATAATATAATATATAAATACGTTATTCGTGGGCGGCGAGCCGGCA